CACTCACTCACTCACTCACTCACACTCACACTCACACACACACACTCACTCACTCACTCACTCACTCACTCACTCACTCACACTCACACTCACACACACTCACACTCACACTCACACACACACACACACACACACACTCACTCTCACTTTTAAACTCAGCTTTTCTGGAATGGAAACTCTGGTTACCATGGTAAATTTTCTGAAGATTAGTAATTTCGGTCCAGCAGACAGGAGCGTCAGACCCCTCACACAATCCCCTAATCCTCTCTGATCACAGCAGGAAACAGATCGATCATCATCTGAAGGCCTTTGATTGACTAGATGTGTGTTTGATGTAATGTGAAGAGAAACACTCCCATCTAGTGGCCAAACACACTCACTACACCTGCGACAGCTGCTCAATCAGTCAAAGCTGACTACAAATAACACATTTGCACAGTAAGAACAACCTTAACATTAAAAGTGGGGGGGACACGTCCCCTGCGTCCCCCGCGTAATCTACGCCCCTGCTTAACATCTATATAAAATGTTTCTATTACTATTATTAGTTTAAAAAAAATAGTTAAATAAAATATTTATTTATTTACAAACAAATGTCCTGTAATTTATTATTATTGTTAATAATACCGTATTGGCCCGAATGTAAGACGACCCTGATTATAAGTCTAGACCAGGGGTGGCGAACTCCAGTCCTGGAGAGCCGCCCCAACCCTAATTAAAACTCACCTGCCTGTAGCTTCCTAGTAACCCTTCAGACCTTGATTAGCTTGTTCAGGTGTGTTTGATTAGGGTTGAAGCAAAACTCTGCAGGGCTGCGGCTCGCCAGGACCGACGTTCGCCACCCCTGCACTAGACCCTGAATATAAGACGACCGCGTTTTTTCAGATGTATTTCCAAGAAAAAAACATCGTCTTATATTCGGGTCAATACGGTAATTGTTTTTATTAATATTACTTTTTTTGTTTGTTTTTTTTATATTGTATTTATTTTATGGATTAATTACACAAAACACTAAATGTAACATTTTATTTGAAGCTTTAATTTATAATGTATTATAAAAGTATTTTTATTTATTTTTTAATTATGCTTTGTAATGCACTTTATAATGCATTCTATGATCTTATAATTATTCATAACCACAGTTATAATACATTATAATTCTTATCTATTTATTGTTACGCCTTTAAAAAAGTATAATTCTTTAAAACACGAAATTTCATTTGTAACAAAGCGTCTTAAAATATTAAAATGCATTTTAACTTTCGTTACAATTATTCATGAAAATATATAATGCATTATAATGTACATTATAAATACCTTTCTAATGCATTATACATAAAGGCACACACACACACACACACACACACACACACAGAGACACAC